CAAACAGAGATATAGCGACAGAAATCGAGAAATCACCCCCCAGGGGGGATGGTCACGCCGCAATCCCTTGTCCTCCATTCTCCTCTTGGGATCTTGGGCACCCACCCATACGCGCCTGGCATGAGTTTTAAGCCACCGGGTCCGGGACGCGAACCGCGGTCGACTACGTGGGAGTCCAGCGACATAGCCATTACGCTAACTGCTGGTTCCCAAACTTACTTGTATATTTAGGTTGAAGCACCTCTAGGATATTTAATTCTATGCCCTGAACACCATATGTGGACCACATTTATTTTTATTTTATGAAATCTTTGTCTGGGCTTAACGTATTGGGTCTTTACAAATATCATGATGGATTTTCTGTGTAAAAATATATCATGACTTTTCTGACGACCCAAGAGATCTTTTTTTCTTTTTCTTTTTCTTTTTTTCTTGGACTAGACAAAGCACCTCATTTCTGCTGTCTAGAACCATCTCTTTGTTTTATCATCACAATTGATTTTGTACATCAGTTTTCTTCTTTATACCATTTCTTTTGTTCCCAGGGCATGTACCAGCACAAACATACACACATTTTTTTTCCCTCCCTTTATGTGAGAGAGAGAGGAGAAGAGAGAGATAAGCAAAGAGAGAGAAAAAGGAATTTTTGTGACAAGGTTTTCCCGTGTCACAGTCTTCCTTCCCCAGTCTTCTAATTAGCCAGAATTACCAGCATGTGCAGTCATGCCCAGTGTTTGGCCTGGGCATGACTGAAACCAAACTCACGTGGTCTATAGCCTTCTAAGCAGTAGTCCTGTGTATTCATTCATTACACTGGGTCCCCAGTCCTTATCTTTAAAGTAGGTTTCTTACACATTGAATAGAATTGGGTCTTTTACATCCAGTCTGAAAATCTTTGCCTTTTATTTGGTTCCTGCAGGCCATTTATATTTATTGATATGGTTAGGTGTTATCTTGCTATTTGTTTTCTATTTCTCTTATCTGTTCTTTGTTTCTTTTCCAAATATTTTTCTTTAGATTAACTATTTTTCTGATTCCATTTTATCTTCTCTATTGACTTATTTGTTGCACCTCTTTGTTTTATTGTTACCCAATTGAAATTGTTATTGGGTTGTTTAAAAAGTCATGACACATTTTTGCATGGAAAAAAAAAAGTCATGACTTTTCCGACAACCCAGTAACTTGCCTCCAACCCCCACTTTCCTTAACTATTATAGTAAATGAATTTGCTGCCCAGTTAATTGCTTTCTTTATTTCTCTTAACTCCCATGTATCTTTTGCCATGTGTTTTTGTGCCGTTTATTAATTGAATAATTCTTGACTTTATCTTTTTCACTTCACTGATACCTTCCCTATTCAGATACTGTAACCTGCACAGAGTTGAGCTT